GGTTTTAAACATTATAGCAGCTTTTTTTTGTTTGTTTTCTATATTTCTTCATTTCTTCTCCACATTTCTATTTTTCCTTTCATTCAACATAATACACATCCATACAACTACACTCACAATTTGTAACATTCCTTCCAGACTTTACATCCCTTCCTCTCTCGATCACTGACATCTGCACACCACCCACCCACCCACCCGCTCTCTCACACACTCACACACACAGACCTGTTTCTAGGCAGTTGTAGTTCCTTTGTACAGCCAGTGGACTCCAAGCCCCAGCTCGACATTTCCGAATGTAAACACCTTAAGGCATCCATAATGCACTGTGAACATTAAATATTGTTTGGTGTGGGAAATACTGCCCCCTACTGACAGGGTGGGGGGAGGGGTTGGCTTACGCCAACCTTCAACACCATTTCATCATTGCAATTAAATTCACAACCCATGCACACAAACTGTTGCTTCTTAATCAGCTCAAGTGATTTCTTCTTCCTGTCTCATTTCCTTCCTCTTCAGCTTCAAATTCAGCTTCGGCAGCAATTTATTGAGGTGTGGTTATCCACTGCCGTTTGAAGTGATGAGAGGAAATGAGGCAAGACAGGCATCTTTGTCAGATGAGATGACAGATGGATCTGCGTTCAAAATGGCTTCACAAAGTCAAAACACATAAGGCCTGTGGTATTTTTTTTTGCATTGTTTAAAAAACAAAATTAAACAATATATCATTTGCAGACTCTTACTTTGCACTACGAGTCACAAAATAAATAGATCTCCCTCTTTTTTGTTTTACTTAAATACATGTTAATATTATATCTGATGCTCAAAAATACTTTTGTCTGAAGAGAAAGTCCTTCAAAAGTTAGAGACAAACCCGCTCACACATGCAGACAGCCCCTTCCACTGGTCCAGTGGTGTCAAATCCACAGGAGAAGAAGAAGAAAAAAATACTGCAAAAGCAAAGGATTGATGGGTAAAGTCGAAAAGCAGGATTGCAGGCACCAATGAAGCCTGTGGAATCAAAGGTCAAAAAGAAAAGGAGGAATGAAGCAAG